TGCAGTTGAGATACGTTAGTTTTGTTCATATGAGACCTGCCGGTTGATTTGAGCCTTCCTTAGCCCTTTGCAACAGCCTACATACGCCCATTATATAAAGCCGCCTAACCGCACTTCAAACGATCAGCGTTCATTGTGTGTATTTGGCGTTGGCACTGATTTTTGACGAAGTGAAAACAACACTGCGAGGTATCTGGCTAAGCGTGCATAGGACATTGTATTCTGGTCGCTCTGCTGCTGCGGCGACTGAATGTTGTTGTTCAGGCTTGTTGCGAGCCTGCTGTTGGCGTTCCTGGCCGGATGTCCGGGGGTGAAAGCCCACTGCGGTGCTCCACCGGAGCGCCCAAACATGCAAGTGCACCTCGGCGACGACTATGTTGAATATTTCTGCCGAGGAAGGGTATTCCGGTTGTACTGTGTCGGTACGACTTGGGTGGGTCACCTACCGCTGGAATGCTCCTTCGAAACCCTGATATCGAAGGTACTGTGTGATCCGACCCCGAAGCATCCAAATATAATGCTCACGTGGAAACAGGACAATAATCGAGTTGACCACCGTTGCTCGTCGCGTGTTAATCTTCCATACAGAGCTGTGTATAGTTTAACATGTGAGAGAGGTTGGTGGAGGAGAAGATTAGCGGTGGACTGCATTAACAATAGCCTCGAATACGAACAGCGCTCATCGGATGACGTCGACAGCGATCCGCAAGTTTATCAGGGTAAGGAAACCTACGAACCCTTGAAGCCTTTGACTCCTAGCGATTCTGTCCAAAAGAGACCAGAAGATGATAGAACACTGGAACAACCGGAAGGTTCTTTTAATGATGAGGAGAAAGACAACGAGCTAATGATGGGTAACAGACCCTTATTAGATACCGAAGAGATCGAACTTCAGCCTGATGAAATGCCGCTTAATGAATATTCGGAACTGCAAACGACGGCACCGCATTCAATAGATAATCCCTCGGAACACGTAGCCCATGACGCATATGATATACCTTCTGAACCGTTTGGAATACGCACAGTGTCAACCCCAAGTCATCAGATGCCCACTTCTCGAAACCATCACCGTCAACTTTTTACTACGACGCCGGTTTCAAGTCAACGACGCCGACCGGTTAAATCGGCCACAATAGAGAGCGCAAAATTTTGTGGATTAAGACCTACCAGAAGGGATATGATCATTCTGGGCGAAGGCAACCGTTTCGAATTCCAGTGCCGCAAAAATCGAACTCTACGCTACATTATCACCTGTGTAAATGGGACCTGGGAGGGCGATCTACCATTAACCTGTCCTAAGGACAAGGTACGAAATGAAACTGGACAATCACTAGCCCAGGCGCGTCAGCCGAACAAATTTACTTACAATACCAATGTCAATGTAAGCGGATGCGAAAATCCACCGAAGAGGCACGGAATGCTTATGGTGCGCTCGAACACCTTCACGCATTACTATTGCGATGGGGGAACGTCTCCATCTCGTGGACGGCATTTCAAACTCAAATGTATCCAAGGACAATGGTACGGTTTTGTTCCTGAACGCTGTCCTTTGACGGACTCCGGAAGGTTGACAAGCGAGTCTTGTGGCGAACCTCCTGACAGAAGCGATTTGCGGCGTATTCGGATTTACTCGGTGGCTTTATACTATTGCTGGTCTTACGACGAACTTATAACGGGTCCGTTTTATAAACTGCGATGCCATAATGGGACGTGGTTGGGTAAAGAAACGCTCCCAGACAGCTGTCCCCATTTGACGGCTAAAGAGGAAAAGCCGGTTCGATTAGTTAGGAAAATATCGCCAGAGCCTTCTAGAAGCATCACGCTGCCCCTAGGTTTCACACCGACTTCAACGACTTCTACGGCATTGACAGGTTCTAGCCGCTTATCACAATCCACGCAAGCCATTCTCTCGCTTACGGCAGTTCGTCCTTTAGCCAGCGCCGAAAGAAATGGCAAAGGGTCGGTTTACGTCCGCAATCGAACTGCTGGCAGTAGGGATCACAGTGAGCCACCCGAAGCAGTGGAAAGCGTAGTCACAGCAAAAGAGCGTGACATGTCAATTTTACACAGTCCTCCGCTATCCCAGTTAATTCGATCGTCAATCTCACCAACAAAAATTACGGCTAGCACGAGAATTAACGTTAAAGCGTTACTATCAACTACCACACCGCTCACGCCGTTAACGTCAAAGTCAGAATACGAATTTGCTCGAGATGAGGTCACTACCACGCAGCGCTTCGCGTCAAACCGTAACGTGACCAAGAGCAGTAACAATAGCTTTCGCGCTCGTAGCAGCAGATTTACTGAGTTAACAATACCGTCGCAGCTGTCGGCAACTACGTTACTGCAGCCATACCCGCAATTTCCGATATTTACGAAAACCGATGTCCCTATTAGGAAGCAGCACAAGCTAACAGGGACTAACGTAGATGACTTTACGGAGCCCAACAACGATTAATCATGGCACCGTCTCGAAACAGATGCCTTTCCACGCAAAATATCGTAACCCAGGCTCGACAAAAGTTACCGTCGCTACGGTCGGTGGAAGTTTATCAGGAATATTTAGTACAGCACATAACGCCGAAGGGGATATACAACCCAAGCAAGGAGATTACCCACATAATAGCCGTAGAAAACAGACTCAAAATTCGATATAAATTGGACTGTAACCAACCAGTACCGCGTGGAACAATTTGACAGCGGCGTATCGGGCCTGTTTTGTCGAGCGTCACATGCTTTACGTCCGATGGAAGGGCATTCGCTGGTTTGCAACCCAGGCTTACAGAAGGGACTGCCGGTACCAAGCTGCCCGCAAAATTCGCCAGACAAAATAGATGTAAGGATCCGATGTAATGCCCCAAGAGAAATGTCTAGAAATAAAGAACACGACGTTTGCTCGAAGTAATCATGCTTCCAGATTTGTGAAATGTCTCAAGCCGTTAGGAGCATAATGTTTTTTTTGCACAACGACTGTGATGCAAATTCCGAATTTCCCTGACTTAGCTCATGGGCGGCGGGAGTACAAAGCTAGCATTTCTTCAGCTTCACGCTTTAAAGTTAAAAAAAAATCTACGAACGTCGTGTCGTTATTTTCTATAGTCATACATAGTATCACGTCATAGACTACAGAGAAAAATATACAGAATAAAGCATTAACTAATCGGTGTGCGTGTTCTTTGCGATACACAATAAAGTGCAACACATATTGATTTTCCATTGAATAAAGCCTTCGAGTTTGGCGTCTGCCACTTGAGCCGACAGGCGTTGACTTAGCAGGCTGGTTCCTTGCAGCAAAAAGCAAAATTTATCTCCACTCGGATTTGAACCCAGACCATAACGTGTCCCTAGGTTTAGTAGTTAACATCGCACTTTACCACGGGATTGTTTAGCAAGAAATAAAATGTATGGCATTATGTCATGGCATATCTAACGTCTTGTTGACGTTAGACGAATTCAATTTCGATCTTAGCACAGGTAAACACATGCAATCATTTTAAATTAAACTTCTGTCTGTTTAATAACGTTGAAGGATTTTCGGAGTGATTCCTGTATTTGTATATATATATATCGCAATTCTAATGTTGGCGGAGCGTAGGTGGTACAGGTGCTCGGTTCGCGGTGTCATTCATATGCACAGTAGCGAAAAGGGCCAAAAAAATTCTACCCGACCGCTTATCGTCAAATCAAACGACAATTCCAGCACTTTCAACATGCAATCAGTGGTAGATATGGCTAATTCCTGTACGTTTAACGCTATCATCGCTCCGACTCTTATTTACAACACACTGTCGAGCATATAAACAATGGTCTTCAGGCCAATCCTCTTGAAATCAGCCTGCCGAAAGTCCATGCGCGAGGAAGTCTATTTCCATTTAGCGGAGAGTCGACGTGGCCTAAATATTCGATCTTCAACCCATAACCTATATGAGAACATGTAAAATTTTTTGCCGTGTAGAAGATCCCAAAGAATATGCTGCCTCATTCCTGTGTGCAGCACATGATACGAAAATCCGTAGTAATAATATGACTATAACAATGGTTTCATGGTCAAATCGACTGAGTATAGGATCGTATCGATACGTTCGAAGCCAACTATACGGTTGAAACCGAAAATGTGGATATTTTCAAATTTTTCCGGATCCTGTTACGCCGCCACAAGGGACGCGTTTGTTTTGAAGCTTTATGATGTAGCTATAAATATTATATATTAGAGGTTATCCACGGCATGGAAATGCAAGCTATTAACGTAGCTGTTTCTTTGTTGTGAGGCGTGATTTTGAAGATTTGACGTTGGCCTTGCGATTTATTTATTATATTTATATGCAACAGCTCTATTGGTAAGGGAGGATATTTATGGAAACTTTTTGTCAGGTTCCAGCACTGCGAAAAGTAGTAGCTAGTATCGTCTGTGTATTTCGCTGTAGCCTATAAAAATTGACCAACGAAATTGCTTCATCCGGTAAATAACTTTTTGTCTACATATATATATATATATATCTATGTAATGTGGTAAGTTATCCGGGTAAAGTTACCTGCTCCTTCGATTACTTAAGATTCAGTGTAGCGATCACCATCAGCAGCTGGCTTTTTATTTCTCATTCAGGTTCAAATGACCAGATATTGCCAGTATATAACAACGTGTAAATAAATTATAGATCGCTAATCTTACCTTCACCTACCCGTAAACAGCAAACGTAAGCGGACAATACAATGCAACAACAATTGCCGAACGTTAATAATTACTGTTACGCGTTTCAATATACGTCATAATAATAATAACAATAGTATTTCACATACACTACACTAAACTGGGAAAAAAAAACGAGTTTGTGAAAGCAAACGGAAATTCAAAGAACCGGTTTATTCTTCTAATCACCCCACTTATGTCTATATCGTACCATTCCAGCCATACATTACCTATCTAAAGAATAACACGAATCGGATTTTGGTGACAGTAATTATTTACGTACGCCCTGCGACGTCTTTATTTACATGGCGAATATTTCTCCTATTATTATTATTATTATGGTAAATATCGCGTTTTATAGATCGTTCTTGTTCTCACCCTGTCACTGGCTAGCACGTCGCTGTCTATAGGCAAAATCCGCCGTTTGAACTATTCGACGATTAAGAACGCTCCTTTATAATTCGAATTACTTCCGCGTCCTAGTCAGTTGAGGTGTGATAGGCGTATGGCCGTTTATTCGTTAGCCGATACACTATACCAGCACAATCGAAACAAACTATTACCTCGACTATGATATATCCCCGACCAATCGCATCGAGTACTCCTTTCCGAAACAGAACGCAGAAATGGCGATTATTTTAACTGAAAACGTATACAATAGCAAGGGGTGACGCGTTGGCGATGATTAGTTAGCTGGAAATTTGCTTGGCTAGAAAGGCTCCTTTAAAGAGGTCGTGCCCTGCCAGGGATACGCCTGCTCGTTGCGCTCTATTTATGATATTGTTAACATACTGTGTATGTCTCGCGTTAAAATCATGAAAGTTAGAAATACATGGTATCAGTATGATAGCATCTAACTACAGTTAGTCGACACACATATTACAAACGAAGCAAACACAAAAACGCACATACAGATTTCTAGGATTAAAGATAAAGTTACCGTACATTTTTACGATTCTATAAATAATATTTTCGTTTTTTTTTAAAAATCTTTTCCCAACTTCGGTGCTTTTTTTTAATCTAGTTTTTTCTTTATTTTTAATCTAATTTTTTTTTTAAATTTAATTTTCTAAGCGTTTTTTTTATCATCTTCTAGTACATTTCTTTTGTAGTGTTTACATATAACTATGTCAACATGTTATTACAACGCTGAGGACGCACAAAAAAGCATTTCAGGTTTGAAAAATGACGATCTTATTTTTTGGCTGATGATACTAGAATATTGCATATTGCTATAGTGAGGGGAATTCGCCGGGGTCCGAAGAAGCCGTTGCTTTTTAGAGAAGATACTTTTTTCAGTAGCTCTTGGTTAATTCCTTGAGAAAACGCAAGTTTCTATACACTTCAATCCTCCTTCTGTCGTGACACATAAGAAACAAGCTGATACGATCGGCTTATGAACCTAGGTGCGTTTCACGTATACACCTCAAGACTACCTTCGCCCCCTGAGAATTTTGTTCATAGGGGGTTGTTTATGACATCGGGTAATGCTACGTGAATGAATTTGTTTAGGAAAGGATTACTGAGTCGTTTCTAATTGCGGACTTTCTGTTGTTGTTTTTGACATCCAACTCTCGCTTCCAATCGAGTCCAACTTGGTCTGATCTCGAGCTCATTAAACCTTTTCAGCCATTTTCAATATCTACTGTTTTTGTTAAAATGTGGGGTCATAATGTCTACTTCTATGGCGTCAATGTGACAATGCTAAAAAAAAAGATTATTAACACGCTCTAGTTTTCTAACATACTCAGCTTGTCCGAACCGTTATTCTTGACTACTGAAGTTGATTTTGTAAATAACATAAGTTGCAATTTTTCCGTGATGTGTTCCGCTGTTCCTGGTATTTAATATGTTTGCTGCGCGCTTAGCTGCACTGTTCACGATGCCTATTTTCCCCATTGGGCCAGTAAACCGGCTTGTGCATCTACAGCGAAACATTCAACTTCAATATGGTATAGTCCACGAAAGTTCATCATGAGGTCTACCTTGATTTAAGCCACTCAGCACCACTTCATACCGTTGGCTTCAGTTAGTTTCAAAGGGACTTCTTTTGTAATGATGAATCGATTACAGAATTCAACCCGAGAACGAAGAACTTATACTGTTGCTAACTGACGACAAGCCGGCAGTTGACGAACTAATTATAGTGTCAGCCGTTTGGCCATTATTTGACGCCGTCGGCGAACTCGACCCAGGCGTCGTTCTTGAGTTTAGAGAGAGAGCTGTTGACGGCGCCGGAGGTGCGGAACATGGGGCAGAGCTCGCCGGCCAAGGATAACCCCCGTATGATGTCCCGTGAGAAGCACTACCGCTGCAGGTTGGTGGTTCCCAGACGCCTATACAGAAAACAGTTAGGATGGATGCATTGTTATACAACAGGAAAATGTCTATTGAACCTTAAAATAGTATGAGTATGTCGTTTTTGTCCGTGGATCTAGATAACATTTAGATGCTATGAACCACAATATGGGGGAAAGTTTCGTGTTCGCCAATCGTGCATTATCATTAGGAAACAGAGTCATTCAGATAAACAATTAGAGATAGAAAGAAGGTTTAGTATCGGTTCCAAGTTTACCTGTCCCTCCAGAACTCGTCATATCATCATTATGCGTACCTCATACGTGTATCTATTTGCTAGGAAGCTATACCCTGTGTTATAATCCGTTAAGTACGACAAAATATATAAAATTGTCGGTGGTCGACATCAGTTGGTCGCTATGATTCACCTCCATTAGTTGACCAGTAGTTTGATGCGAAGAGACTTGATGAATTAAAGTTCAGTTTAGCATGGGCGGCCGCGTGGTGGTAGGGCGTTGTTGACTGGCCGAACAGATCGCTGTGGGCAGATACCGAGACCGAACTATGCGGATGGTATTTGCTCGGGAAGTAACCAGTGGAATGGTGGGCAGAAGCCATACCCCCTACACCTCCAACGCCTCCCATAGCGCCTACGGACGAAGAACCAACGCCCATTGAAGACACAACCCCGACAGAGTCCAGGGACGAGCCGACTCCTAAAGGCGCCGAAGGTCCCTGGGGCTGTGTGGCCTGTGCCAAGCCTTGAAAGTCGAAACGGTAAGCATATCGTTTGCCGTGCACCTACATTATGGTGAACGAGCAAAACTTACGTCAGGCAAATAAAAAATGTTCCTTGTTTACATAAATTGCGATTTGGGTGAAAGTGTATATATATATATATATATACTATATTAGTTTTTCGTATTGCATATATGTTCATTTTATTTATTTTTACATTTATATGCTAGGACATCTTTTATAACATTCACCTAATCATAATACAAAAAAACTGTAGTCCAAGAAAGTTAAGCTCTGCAAAGTTCTCTAGAGAGAAGTGGCCTTTTTTCAATATTGTATATTTTCAACTTATAAAAATTGACAACCTACTTACATGAGCTTAGTATCTTTATCTTTCTTCATAGAGCTAATGGGCTTTCCAGATTTTTAAATTCGCTTTTTTTTTTATTCGTTTATACAATAGTAATTCTATAAAATCTCTTTCTCTCACAGCGTTTTATCCTTACGCTTTCCTATTCGCTATCTAATTACCTTAGTCATGATGTTCTTATCATAATAATAGCGAAGTGCTCTTGAGAGCTTATCATAACTCATATTGGGTTTAGACTTCCGTTCACCCCATCGGCGAGCTACTTCATCAGGATCGGTCAGTTTGAACTCGCCATTGCTTCCCTCCCAAGCGATGCAGCTCGAGTTTGAGGAGTCCGAAAGAAGCTCAAGAAGAAATTGCCACAGTTGGATTTGGCCGCTCCCCAAGACCGTCGCACCTCCAACGGATCCCACTCCGTGCGGGGGAGAAGGTGATGGACCCCCGGCCCATGAACTACGATAATTTGATTCTGGAAGTGGCAATGAAAAAATTCTCATTGAGTAATAGAGAAAAAGTGGTTTGATTTTACTCCGAATAAATCGGAGGTGGGAGGGATAATCCCGAAGTAGCATTGTTTACTGAGTTTGTATCAGGTACTACGGACAAGTTATGGTCGCATTGTGGCAAATCATCAAGATCGAACCAAATCCCCTTAGAAACCATAAGCGTTAGAACGATATGGACCGAACTGGTACGACTTCAGACAGCAAGTAAGGTTGTTGTTATTAAGAGTAGATTATTGCTGTTTTGTCCAGTTGAATTTATTGCCCCAACACCTATTTCTTAGCGCTGTCTATCAAATAAAAATGCTTAATCTTCCAGAACCTTTAGAACTCTGATAGAGTAGTTGCACCTCTGCATGCATGCAACTCCATGCTCATATACTAAGCTTTATTACTTATACCGGATAGTGTTATAAACATCCATTGCATAGCCAGTTAAATCCTCTCGGTTCAAATAAACAATGCAACAAAACGAACGTTCCCGAAATGACCAGGCCTTTTACGTTTCTTGATAGATGACATTCTCCTAAATCTTCAGCTAATTGCTTTTTATTAGATTTTTCTTTTGTTATTTTTTGTGAGGTCTGTTCTTCAGAGCGCACTAAAACAACGGGGCACGATTGCGGATCCGTCGATTTCCACAATTTGCTCTCCTAGTACGTATTTCTTCTTTGCTCCTAACAAACCCATCCACGGTTTGACTCCATCAACGTTTTCTTAACTTTAGCTGTAGTAACTTGTCATGTTCATTCAAACTCAAGCGCACAACACATACTGGTTTAACCCACTTTCGTCCAACCAGTAACTTTCTGGGTTCCACATTATAAGGCCAATCGCTTTGTGATCAAGATATTACTTTCACTCATACAGATCGAGGCGACTCATGCGAAGCTCTGTCGGGAGAGAAGCTTGGACAGTCTCTAACTAGGGAAGCTGGACCATCTATTGGCTTAATAATCTCTTTCCGCCGTGCCCCTTGTCCGCGTTTCTGGAACTGTATTTTTGAGTTAAACTTGACAGGCAGCCAGTAGTCGCCGACTGAATCGTCGATTTGACGAAGTCACTTCACTCGACTAAATTTCGCACTTCACACAGTAAACATACCACTCCCCAATGAGCAGGAATGGGAAACACTGGGCCAGGCGACGAGGCTGAGTGACTTCAGCGAAGGAGAAGCAAAATGAACGAGGACAAATAAATGGAAACGGAGAAAAGGGGGTTCGCGTTTAAGGGCGCACGGGCGGAGAGGGAAGGGTATCAATTACAATTATACAATGCAAAAACAACACAGTGATTAGGGTTGAGCAGAGACTAGAGCCAGTTGGTGCCCTCGTATGTTCGTATATGTCCCATATTTCTGGAGCAGTGGTAGAATGTACGCGCAAAATATCTCACTCAGCTCCACTGACTGTGTTCAAAGTAATTGATTATGGGAACACATGGGTGGCGGCCAAAGACACGGGCCTGCCGCGGCAGTAGTGAAATGTTGGGCTGCCAGGGCTTGAGGGGCGTACTTCATTCATAAGTGGATCGGTCGTGCGAATTATAGGCTAGTGAACATAGCCTGAGAAAAATCAAAACTGGGATGTTTTTTTAATGGCCGATCAAGGCGTTGTCGACCTACAGGAGCCGAGAAAGAAATGAACTTAGCTGGGCACCAGATTTTGTTTGCTTTCCTTTTACAGCAAAGGAACAGGTTATTCTAGTGAAGCACATCCACTAAACGAATCGATACCTCAAAACATTAACAAGAGATGGTATCGAACTGTAGGACCCATACTGTAAAGACAGCGAACTAATTCAGCTGTTGACGACAGTGAATTTTTAATCTAAATATTATAGTAGGTACGTCTATGTTTCCGTCCGGTATCGCTGTTAGGACTGCATCATATGAGGTATGTCTGTTTATGGCTGGCTTCCAACCTAGACCACAACGTGTCCCTAAGACGTTACCTGCTAACCTACCACGGGGACATATAATAGGTACCCACATGACCTAAAAAGGACTTATGGATATACTACTGAACGTTTGGGACGGATGACTTTTATTGAGATAGGCTTTTGCTCCCGAAAAAGCTGCTTGCTATAGTTTGCAAAAGACAATCTAATATCCTAATATTGATTTGAAGTAAACCCCGGCTCGTCATCTAATTGGAAACCCCGCTCGAAGTTACAACATATTATATTTGTAGGCATGCCTAGCCACCAAACCTAATGGGGTATATTTTCTTGACGAGAAAAGCGCTACTGAATATTAACCGGAAGTTGCCAGCGCCCCACGTTCAATCCCCGCCACAGATACAATACCTATCCATAATCCTCGCTGGGGCCGCAATGAGCGAAAACTTTCACTGAACTTCTAGTAAAAGCCAAAAATTGCAATTTTCGACGATTGCCAACGGAGCTCGCAAAGGGATTAAACTAATAAAACCAGAGACACGGGAAAATGTCAATTTTTGGGTGGTAATGCAATTAAAAAATTTTGGCTAAGGTTCGTTTCTACTGTATATGGCAAATACCTAAATGCAAATTCGATGTTTGTTAACGAGATCTACAAGTTTACCTTTTGTAAAAAGAGCTCTGCAAGCTCGAAGAACTCGAAGAAGCCACTATACGAAGGTACCCCTTTAAGAGTAAGCTCAAAAGCACTGTCAGGTTTGAAAAATCAGTCCTAACGTATAATAACACAGTGCCATATCTGCTGTCCACATACCTGTTAGCATCATCCTAAATGAAGTCGCTACCGCGAAGGATCTCCCTTTCCACGAGACTTCTAGGTTGATTTCGAACAGCAAAGCAGGCGTGAGTGACTCGTCTGCGGGTCGTCTGAATAATGGCTTCTTTGGATCTAGGTGGATCGAGGACACGGAATTTCGGCGTGCCCAAACCCAGGCGAACTCACATTTCTTCAGTAACGTAGGCAAATTCTGCACGCAAAACTTCCGTCGAAATATGTAGAGCTATACATTGACATATTATGATGAAAACACATATATTTTTGAACAAGAAAAACAAATTTGTTGATTTTTCAAGAAAGAACTTTTAGAAAAACTGAATAGAACAGTCAAATTCTAGTTAATGTTAACTAAAAGCATTTGCACCTAATTTTTTACACACCGATATTTAGTTTTTATTAGAATTTCACCGTAGGTAGGGAATATTTCTGTTTTATGTATAAATGAAAATGAAAAGGTAGTATGTGTACAATGTGTGTATTGTATTTCCCACAATCTTGATATGGCCGTAGCCGGTTCCCGTGCAGACGATGTCGATTATAATGGCGAGCACCGTTATAGTTTCTGTGTCCCTAAAGCACTAATACATAATATACAAAACAGTGCAAGACAACTGCTCGAGGGAATGGGTCTCTGCTGTTAAGCAAGAAGTGGTAACACGACAGAACTTAGCACACGAGCGTGGATTTAAACGCTAGCACAGTGCCCATAGATAAACACGCACAAGAAAACCGACGTGATTACGTAGCGGGTTGTTCTTCCACAACTACGTACACATCATGGCTATTTTTATGGTCGGTTGATACCATTGCTATCATCATTCCTATAAAGGCCCCAGAGATAAGCTTCGTTTTATCTTAAGGTTCCTAGGCACTTCTTCCTCAATGTGGAACATAGCCTGAAGACGATTTGATGCTAGATTAAGTTATCGTTGTGTTTTAAGCGTACTTAATGCGGTTGAACTTGGGGTAATGGGCGCTGTTTATGCCTCAAAACTGCAACTATTGCTGGGTAGTAGTGTGATGTTTAGAGCAGATGCTACAACAGATGATTTCAACCATGAGTCACCGTTAAATGCTTTTCACTTTGAAATGACCAGACTGCAATTCCGGTGTAAATGAACAGGCACACAGGAAGGCCTACAGGGGCCCGCCGACAGCAGACGGCCAAGGCCCGGTAGCCTCGGGTCCTGCCCGCGGTCTTGTCGTGGTTGTGATCGCGGTGATGCGTTGTCTGATCGACGTCTTAAACGCGTCGCCCGTCCCCGGCAACGACGATTCGATCCGGTGTTCAGTTTGTCTCGGTCCCAGCCCCCAAGCTGTCCTCCGACAACTCGCTGGACTGGTAGCGGCCGTGCCGTTCGCCTCGCAAAGACGTCGGATCCGCGCGTGTGGATCGGCGTGGTCCGGACGAGATCCGGGACACACGGTCAGCAGCAGCAGTCGTAGTGGTAGCAGTTATAGTAAGTGGCCTCGCGTTGCAGCTCGATCAAGTAAGCCCAAGTTAGGCCAAGGCAGACAGGCATCAGGTCAGCCAAACTCAGCCCAGGCTAGACAAGGCGCAGGCGTTCGTCGGTTCCGTTCGTGGTTCGCGCTTGTCGCTTGCGCCGTACTTTGCCACCGCTAGCCAGCCGCTTGAAGCTTGTCCGTCGCTAGCAGTAGAGGTGGTCGCGGTGTCCGGTCGGACGTCGATCGTTTCCTGCGATGCTGCACTCGCACGTCCGGTGTGGCCCGAACACGCCAGCCTATTGAAAGTACTTCCTTCCTTCCGCTATAACCAACGTACTATTTCACATATCCGCGGCGGCAAGCGACGCCCGCAGCAAATCGTAGCGGCTGGCTGAGGATGCCGCGCCGGCCAGGCGACGCATGCGCCCACAGATGCGAGTAGCGGACAGGGCTTGTATGGGAGTTCATACGGGGTAGAGAGCAGCTGGCGCCGCCAGTAGAGGGATAATGTGAGCTCGTTAGAGCCCCCTTCCCCGCGAGCTGACCAATAGGCGCCCGTGAACAGGGGTTGAGTGCGGGAAAAGTGGGAGAAACGGGAAGCAGACTAGTGTAGAAGCGGACATCGAGGAGCCAATGAGGCTGCACAAGTACACGAAGCTCCGCCCATTTCGAAGGGCGGGGAAGGGGCAGAATAGGGCGTATAGTTGGCCGGAACTGAAAGAGCGCGGGGCAGCTCGGGCGTTCCGCAGGACTACTTGGGGCTCAGCTCGCCGCAGCTACGTTTTCTGCGTGTGCGCCGTCGTTCGTGCGCTGTTGGTGAATTAGCTGTTTTCTACGTTGAGTTGCCTCTGATGCCACTGGTGTTTTTGCTTGGGATGTTGGTGGTACGTAGTAGCTGGTTTTACACCCACGGCCCTTAGCTAAGCCTGACGAAGCAGGACCGCCGCCGGCCACGATCCCCAATTCCGTCCCTGGAGAGGCCGGTGGGGTCCATCGAAACACTGACGAGAGGATGATGCTAAGTCGTGCGCAAACATGCAGGCGACTGAATAGCGACAGATTTTACCGGAGTCGGACAAGTCGACAAAACGCTTATCGGACCAAAAATCAGTGCGAGGCGGCGATCCAGTCGCTACGTTCTTCATAGAGAGGCTCAAAGAAGCGAAGCCTTTTGACCAAATAGCTGAAGCACGGATTCGACGAAATGTCGTAGCGACTTTGTATTTCGAAATTGTAAAGCGATCACCAACCGACCAACACTGCAAGGGAACCGTACGACAAACAAAATAAGCTAAGAACGCTTGACGCACGAAGCGTTATTCTAAGACAAAGCATATAAACTTAGTTTCGCGGAGATCAAGGCTAAGACGGTGAGAATATGCACACTCAGTAGAAGCTGTTTCATGTGTTTTATGTTTCACAGACTACAATTGTGAAGTAAAACTACATACAAAAAGTGTCGGGGCTTTGGCTAAACAATCTTAATGCGTAAGGACTTCGAAATCGTCTAATTCTAACAAAAAATCATCGATTCATTAACACGGATTGTTATTTAACGGTTCTCATGCGCTGGCTTAATATATGAAGTGGTAAATGGAGCATTTTCAGCAAGCTGTTAACCAGGTTTGATTCCTCTTTACCAGCTGGTCTTCAAGATTTTGTAATAGCATCTTCTGTTCCTTTTAAACCATGGATGCAGCATAGCTTATTTTCAAAGAATTTATTAGTACTGCAGATTTGGTTCCATTTTCCAAGACAGAAAAAAAAAATGTCTTTTGCTTCTAGATGACCCACAATATTTGTCGCCACTTTCAGTAAAGTGCCCACTCAGAAAGCCAAGTCTACCAGGCTGTTCTATAATAGACCAGCTGCTTTTTACATTCAACGGATTTAGCTTAAACCGATGAACGTGTCAGTATTATTATTTATAAATTGAACCAAACACGTTGAATCGGGAACTATCACATCGTCAGTAGTCGGTAGTTTAGCCTCTGGGGTTAAACAGGGGGTGCGGCTAATTAAGTGCCTCAAATAACGTTTGTAAAAATTCTGAGATAAGATAAAGACGACTCACAATGATCGCTAACCGTAAGTGATAGATACATATCAAAGGTTTTTATTAAGAGTTTATCCTTCGCTCAGGCCATAGCGCTAGTGGCTCGTTTTTCGTTTCGTAGAATAGGCACAGGTTGCTACATCAACAATGGAGACGTATGGGTATTGTTGTCCGGTTAAGTACGCTATAGCGACTTGCCTATGTAAGCTAATACAGAGAATTCATTAGCTATCGCTAGTGGAAGTGCGTCTAAAATAGAGGAGTCCGAAGCCAGGAAGTTGAAATAAAAATGCAGGTGAAAGATTTACGAGTGCAAAGATGGCCGCTTAACGTTTTGCAGTCCTCGATTGTGTAACTTCTGCACGCGCTACTCCTCGCTACATAGTTCAGCCTCCATAAACGAATGCCCTGGGGCACATCTGCGCTGCCAGCTGTATTGTTAACGTACAACAAGTTGTTACGCGCCAGCGAACCATATTTAAGCAAGCGACCTTCAATTAGACGACTTCGTCAGATTCTGTATTGAACTTTCAACCGGACCGTTTTCGACGCCCACGTTGTAAATACTACTTGAATGATGTTCCAGGGCCATTTGTCCTTAATTCAGTTTTTATTTATACATACTAGATGTGTAATTTCATGTCGACAGAAATACCTGAACAAACTGTTACCGGCACCGTATATAAGGACATTTCATCACGCTAGCCGGCCTGTCTCGATATTTAACTCCTTAAACCTTAAAATTTAAAATGTGTCCGAATTTAGTTATAGCCCACTTACTCTACGAATAGCTTAGAAATGAAACACTGATGATAAAAAATATAATAATGACAAATAATAGTCATACAAGGATGGCTCATTTCAGACGCTGCATTCTACACAATATGTTTGCACAGCAGTATCTACTTTGCGCCGTTCGAATGCCCGGAATCTTCGTCTGTGTAAACTCAGGTTCTGTCTTCACAAAAACCTAGTCCTAATCTTAACTCATAGAAAGAAAATCAGCTTCAAAAAAATTAAGTTAACATTACAGACGAAGTAAAGTACGCATCGTCTGGAACACACGGAAAGTACCGTATTAGACAATGATCTAATCGCAATAGCATATGTATATGAAACGCTCGCGTAATACATTCCCATTGATGCGTGTTTCCCCAGGCATCAGACATGTCTGCAAGTCCAATTGCACACCGAGACCAAAAACCATTCAAAAAGGGCCGTTCCGGAAACGGATGGTCTGATCGCTTCCCGTCGTAGCGTAACCAGCTGCTGTCGCCGTTATAAACATGGTCTGGCTCCGCTAAGGGTCCATAAGATCGCGAGTCGTCGTCTCACTCAACCTTCTAGCTGGATATCGGTCATTGGACTGTTATAGAAAATATATACTAAAAGTCTCTATTGCAGGCCGTCCGTAGAGCGGGTATTCGCATTTGAAACAGCTCTCCGCAGACTGAGACTGCTGGAAACGCTTTGTTGTCCTATAAAAGTCACACAGAATGAATGACCAAATTAAAAAAGAGAGTGGCTTTTTGTTTATTTTTTCGGTGCGACCGCATTGGATTTCCTAGCCTGTTCCTGACACATATGAATTTCGGAGGTTTGCACGTATCACTTAGTCTCCTGGTTAGGTGAAAGGGGCATATTAACTAGTCTGTGTCTTGTGACGTAATTTTTAGACGTTGCTATCCGATCATTTCCAAGATGCTCCAGTTCAACACCGAAATTTCAGGTCACTATGTACGTTCGATTTCTATGTTTCGAGCTTCAAGTCCGGTATCGCCGTTAGCCGTTCCATCAAACGGACGGCTGGCTCCCAGCATGCAGGCACGCACACATTATCCACTAAGCTAGTACGGAGACCTATATATGTTCAACCTAATACGAAGATGAGCTCACTATATGTCCGCGACGTATTTAAATAGATTCGAAATTACCAGACTAATCCTTTGCGGAAGGCCAAGCACTAAGCGACACTTTTCGTGCCATCAAAAATAGCACTCTTTGTCACCAGGTGCCGCTAAGATTAGTATCTTGATAGCTATTATTAGGTATTCATAGGTTGCGCTCTATTGTGACCCATTTTTACAAACAAAAGCTACTCGCAACATTTGCTATCCACAGTTGCCTATTAAAGTCCTAAATAAACAATCACAGGTGAGTCTGCAGGTTGGTATCACGTAGTTCCTTCACTTATAGCTCTGAACGAATGACGTTCCCGCTGCGAAGGTAGAATCTTATGAATCCCAGAGTCCGCTGGCGGGCAGTTGTAGAGACGTGGGTAAACGCTACTTCGACTGAGACTGCGGGGCGCCAAGGATACAGCAACCCTATAGGACACTGCGGGATCCTGCGTCATACTTCCCCTGCTGGGTGCAAAATTGCGACTTGTCAGTCTGAAATCATCGGAGGCGGTGATTTCAGTAGCGATTTTGCCCCTGTCTTTTCCCCGTTTGGGTAGTTGTTTTGACTGTCTAATGCCGATAGTCCAGTTTATCTGTTTATAAGAAGGGACGGGTTCTCTAAACCATATAAATACTTGATTAGTAGCAATCAGTAGCTAGTCGAATATACATATATATATATACACACTAGGTTTTTTCCTTGTTTAGTTTCGGATTCAGATCGTATGCGTTTACTGAGATCAATACAGAGTATAATTTATTATTAATAACGTTAGTACGTTGTTTGAGCATAGCGGTGGAAAAACAACAAACGAAAAATATCACCACCTAAAATTAACTAAAGGAACCCCGATCGAAGTGAAGAATACTACTCGATACAGAACAGTCCCACGGCTATCATTATATGGGTTTATTAGATCAAAAGTAAGTTTTAAGTTGACGAACACGTGAAAAGAGTATGTAGGACACGAAAGGTATATATATGCATGTCGTTGACTGTAAATAATTTGCTAAAGTCGTTGCAACAAAAGTAGAAATAATTGTGCACATACGTATTATCACTGAAACGCTACAGGGGCAGGAAATCTCACTGACAATTGCCCCATACGGAAATGTTAACTATGTTCGATTAGCTAAAATCTACTCTATGAAGTCAAATCATGCTGACAATTCAATAATTTTATACAACTTCAGGCTGGTTACGACCATGCTAATTATCAAATATTCGATGCTGAGCGGTCAGTGTTGCAATGCCAACGTACATTGAAGAATAGGTTCTAATAACTACGATCTACTGTGTCACGCAAGTTACTTTGGATTAAGTTCTGCGTGTTGTTCGTCTTTCGCAATGCTCATCAGGGGGATATAGATTCACTTGAATGAGCAGCGTTGCCGCTCTGGGTCTCTACTAAATTCAGTGTTAATTTTCTTTTCATGCGAA